GTCACTTTTTCCATCTCAACATAAGCACATCTACTTACATATATATTCATACACGTATAAATACACTTTATATTTACTGCTATATGCACTTTATATGTTTAGTTTAAGGCAAAGCTAAATTGATTTGCAAATTCCCATCAAGGGAGAAATGTAGTTGTTTTATGTTTTCAACGCAATTCATTGTTATACAGAACTTCTCCCCCACATGTCACATAGAGAACTGATCTTTGACTAAATTAATCAAATATTTTTACAAACAGATTTGACAGAAAAAGAACATTCCAACCATTTTTTCTCCAAACGAATTAAAATGTACGCAACTTCGCAAAATTGTGGGGACACTGTCTGAAAGACATAGCTTACTGTAAATAATTTTAAAATACCAAAAAATGTTCAAACTAAAACAAATTAACCAAAAATGCAATGCTTAGCGCAGCAACTTGTTCGCGCTATCAATATCTTCAGTCTGTGGTATTCGTGTCCTAGCAAGTAACCTAGTCCGTGTAACACGTCGTGTCATAGCCTTCAGTACGTGTCCTAGACGTTGTGAATGTTGTATTGCCGAGATGTCAAGGCATGTAGATAGATCGCCACTGGCCAGCGGAATACATTTCACATCGTCAGACAAATTCTCCAACTTTCCATTAGATTCTGGTGCCCTGCTTTCCATTAGTTGCTGCACCCACCAGCACCGAAGTAGTCATCCCAAGGTCTTTTCATATTCACTTTGCCCGAGTGTGGTTTTGGTTTCGCGGGGACATAGGTACCAGGCAGCCTCTGGACAGGGAATTTGGAATACCTTGTTTTCGTAAACGCGCTGAGATGGTTTTTATTATTATTTTTTGTGTACTTTCAATTACGTGATTAATTTTGTTCTTTCACCGACACACCTCCCACCGCGACTTTCCCTCAACCACCCGTTCTCAGTGGATTCCCGCGATATTCGTCCCCCTTTTGCTCTTCACACATCTCTTTGCCCTTCACATATTCACTTTTTTCACGATGTTGCGATGGAACTCTCCCCTTCTCGGCTACCAGAGGTCGTCCGTGGGTCCACTGTAATCTGTTATATTAGATTATTACGTTACCCAGGTTGCCTGTAGGCCTGTTTATACCGAGGTCGATACCATGAGCGTTTAAGAGCATTCTGAATAATGCATTGCAAATGTTTGTGCCGCATAAATACTTAAAAAGAAAT